AATAGCAAAGCGTTTCTTAACACAGAAATTCCATTAAAGAATGCAATCTGTTGGCCGGTTGAAGAACTATAAACTGCTCAGGAAAATCCATTGCCATGGGGTTGGTTAACTACAGAGTTAGTTAGTTAGTTTCATAATTAGCTAGTTAATCAGGCAGCTACTAGACACACAGCTGAGGTCAAACACCCTGTCCCAAAAATTGGTGCCGATCCTGGCGGGATTCTGTGGTCCTGTGAAACTATCGATTAGTATTCTCAGTTAACCAGATTCTCCGAGAAAGAGTCCCCTGTCTGCATGGTGATGAACGCGACGCTGGGGTAAACAAGTGTAAGCGATGTCCTGGCCGATAGCCAATATGATGTGAAGGCCATGGCTTCTCCCCCAGAAAATTCGACGGACAACTCCGGGCGGAAATCTGGACCTGACAGTAATGAGATATTACTGACACCAATACAGCTGTTTCCAGGTGGTTACAGATTCATTAAAGCAGGGCCAAGACACGTCAAATCCATTCCAAAATCGCGTTTATAACTTTCTATAATATCACCTCTCTAACACTGAGATGGCGGGTTCGAATCTCGCCCGAGGAGGATTTATGTCCGTGTTTTTCTGCGAAGGTACAGCCCTGACAATGATTCGATCCCCAGCGAAAGAAATCTTTCACCAACGTCTAAGGAACATACAGTTTTCAAGATTAATTGCTAATCGGAAAAGACCAGACGATATCAAATCCGTGAAAGCTGAGGAGGGATTCTGTAATCTCGCGTGTTTTATATGTGTGCATTTAGATTACTACTGTTTCGCACAGCGGTTTCCTTAAAAATTTCGTCAAAAATTTTGCAAGCACTTAAACCCCTCCCCCCTCAAGTTCTTACCCTTATTGATTTAACTTTTTTTTCGAGCTGAATTAAATTTGGAAAAACAAAAGAAACGCTCCTTTCCATATATTTTTCTCCGTTTAAACAAAGTATTTTAACACAATTTGATGTCATAAAATCATTCTGACACCTATTAAATGCATGCCAAAATGTCTCCCAGCAAACAGATGTAAACGCTACTGAACCTGAATAAGGCCTGGAGCTCTCGTTGCTACGCTTGGCGTCGTTTTTCTACCATCGTGCCCAGGGATATACCAAATGATTGAAGCCTTTCTCTGGCGTCGCGACGCATTTCGTCGGCTTCCTAGTTAATTGTTCAGTGCCGCCTGGAGAATTATTTGGCGTTATTTGAAGGCGTCGCGACGCCGGGCGTAGAATTTATAAATTCGCTTCCAATGTTAACCAAAGGGTTTGTATTACATTCCTGGAGTCATGTGATGGCGTCGCCATTGTAGGCGTCGCGACGCCGGGCGTCGAATTTATAAATTCGCTTCCAATGTTAACCAAAGGGTTTGGGTCACATTCCTGAGGTCATGTGATGGCGTCGCTTTGGTAGGCGTCGCGACGCCGGGCGTCGAAATTCTAAAGTCGCTCCCAATGTTAACCTAAGGGTTTGTATTACATTCCTGAAGTCATGTGATGGCGTCGCCATTGTAGGCGTCGCGACGCCGGGCGTCGAATAGCTATAGTCGCTCCCAATGTTAACGAAGAAGGTTTGGTCACATTTGTGGGGGGTCCTGTGATGCCGTCGCGACGCTCGGTCTCAGATTTTTACCTTCGTCTTCCGTGCCATCCGGGGCATTTTCTGCTGTAAATCTGGCGTTTTCGAGGGCGTCGCGGCAAATGTCGTCGAGTCTCTAACATCATGCCCAATTACATTACAAGGTCTTCAGTCACATTTTCACTGTTGCTCAGATGGCGCCGTAAAGCCCGTGTCACAAAAACGGTCAGTTATCAAATCGACGCCACACGTCGTTACGCTGATAGCCGTTACGGCAAACATTGCGACGACTTTGAGAGGCGCGAAATTTACCGCAAGTATGTCTCCATATCAGTGCTGGGAAACTTTCTACACCCGCAGCACACTAAACACTGTCAAAGAGTCATGGCGGCACACCGACCCCATTTTGGGTTTATGGCAAATCGACCCCAACCGAAAAATGTTCTATTTAATGTTTACACTTATCCATCTCTATTATTGTCTTTTACTATATGTATATTCATTATTTAAAATATATTAAAACATATTTATACATATCGTTTAATCCCAAACTTATTAACTATGTGTAATCATTAAAACTTAAAGATAATTATTAATATTTTTATATGTAATTATTTCACAGTATCGAAATCAGTTTCCTCCAACCCAAAGATCCCGCTGCATGTGGATGTGAGCTGAGAAAATATCAGACTTAAAATAAAAATAGGAATCAATAATTATCTAATTATGAAAATATATAATCCATTTAATAGCTAAGCGATTCCCAGAAAAATACACAGAGTAGCAATTAAGATAAAGTGGACGTACTATATACGCTTTGCTGAAAAATGGTTGAATTATTTTCCGATTCCATTCAGCAGATCTTGTCTGCCCGATCAAAATGAAGAAAGAAATCAAGACAGACAATTATTTAACTCATTATGGTTATAATCATAATATTTTGCTTTATTGTGATATCTTTTAAGATGTAGATATATTAATTACCTGAAACTGAAAAACCAGCCTCTGCATCATCCAAATTGGATAACGGCAGTCACATCATTGGCTCAATCAGTCAATTGACATAAAAATGATTAAATCAGTTTCTAATTTTCTATTTCGTTCATTTTAGGTGTAAAGCTGACAAGTACTAATCTAATTATGATAAAACTCCTTTATGATCCCATCATTATAATTATCAGCATACTTTCACAATAATTATATTCACATTCTGTGTCTATAATGTATCACTGCCAGATCAGCTAATTCAAATTGCCTGAAAAAATTTCATGTCCCAAGTATAACCTAACCTAACCTAACCTATGACATAACCTAGAAAAAAGTGCAACGAAGTCGTTCTGGAAGAATATAGATCAGCAGCTTTAACCACCATAAAGAGAAACTTTCATTCAGATAAACAGAATTACAGCCTTAAATATTAAAATATAATATGGTGCATAAATTCATAAATGAACTCACCATTTTGAAACTGCATCTTCCATCACAGAGCTGGTAATCCAATCAGAGTCCAAATTCTGACACAATCCAAAACACTTGTTCACAAAATGTCCCAAAATTTAAAACTTGAGCACTGAAATTCTGTTCACATTTCACACACGACACCGCACTAACCGAGTAAACATACTCTTCATTTGTGTTCGGAAGGGACCTAGCTAAAGTCACTCTACACTCGGAAGGACCATCGTAATCTGTCAACAACCGGCTCACTGGCTAATCCTATGACATAATTTGTATGCCCTAACATAAAGAAAACCCTCCCAGTTATTCAAAAACTGATAATCTGCACACAACTATCAAATTTCTTTCATAATATGATCAGGTTGTACAGTGCCACAGAACCAGGTGTTTGCGGCAGGAGGAAATTCTTGGCCAATTGTCCAAATCCTTTGTTACTGGCCCAGATAATATTAGGTTATTTAAACTACCAAAAAAAAAACAGTATAATGGAAGGAATTACTTATTATTCCATTGTTAAATTTATATTGCTGCATCTACTTTCCAAAATACTGAAATTTTAATCACTTTACCTAATTACTTGTAGGCCTATAGCTGATAAACATGTTACTTTGAGGGAAGACACTAATTTGCAGTGATAAGAAAATAACCAAACCTAGAAGAGATAAAGTAATTTGGAAATGACAAATCTTACAATTTTTTTATCAAGTAGTCAAATCAAGTGTTAACATACAACTTGGATTGGAAGATAAACAAATATATAGAATTTTAATTCTAAAACCCTTCAGGTAGCAGTGTCTTGGAACACCAATATGAATATTGGTGTATAATATTAAAATGGACAACAAAGTAACAAGTTGTGAGAATGTTGTATGCTGAAAAAGGGGCTCTGAACCATAACCAATAAAGAATTTCTAAGTATTGAATCACTCGGCTCCATTACCAGGTACTTAACCTCCATCCACCAATTCAGTGTGCAGTCTTCCAGATTTACATGGAGTAAAATTCTGTAGCCGTACGTTCTCAAGTTTGCCCATGCAGAGATCTACTGCCACATTATTAAACAAAAACCTTTACTCTGAGGTAAGACATTAAATTGTGGCACATAACCAATATTACCCACACGCCATTTAACCTAAACCTGATGCAGAATTCACGTGTATTCATCCTTCCCATAGCCAACTCTATTACTAATAAAATTAACTTTGCCTGCCGCCGAATCCAGATTCATCGGGGAAATGTAAAACTATGTATAAAATGGCTAATCACATTTGTTATACGCAGACAAAACCTAGCGGCATTCATAAAAGTTAAAGGAATGTATTTATGAACCGATTCGTAATGTTACTTGCCTGCTCTGGCTGCTAACGTCGTAATATTGCATATTGGAGTAACGCGTGTTCGTCATAACTTGCGTAGGCAACCTTACGGAAGTAAAGTCCTGCATGCTCAACGAGATCTTCCGTATGCCCTTCCTAGTGTTCAGTGACAATTACACAGATTCGAAATTACATACTATTATTTCTTTTCAGGTTATACTTTCCCGTCTTCACCGAACCCACGCCGAACTAGGCCCATTTCCCGCCTATAAAATTCACTGTAGGCTACACCAGACGAAGTTGTACGTCTGCAAATCAACAAAGTCAAACAGCATGCATTACGTTAACACACAATTCCACATCCATTGACAAGATTAGCGCTGCCAATCAATCCTGTTCTAATACGTGGCTCTGTCTCCAATAGGTCTGCTGTAAATGCAATGTATATTATGGATCCATTCATACTGATTCTTCATTCTACTTGGAATAAATTCAGACGTTGCAAGATGACAACTCACCTCCATTGCTTCAAGGTTATGTTACCTACACGTCTGCTATATACCTTTATTGCACGGAGTTTAAACATTGGGGCAGGCTACATCTTTCTTCAATAACGAAAATAACACATTAATCACTTCACATTTTATTGTAAATATACATAAGGACAGTTTTAATTTAGGTATAAATATAACTGCCTTGATTTAAAAAGTCTATAGTTAACTTATTTCATAATCACTCCATAATCTGCAACAAACTTTTCAACTGATAAATCACATTGAAAAATACTATACAAAAAGAACTTTCCAAGATAAAAAGCAATCAACATGGAATTCATAAATTTACAAAAATTAAATCAAACATAATTGTATAATGCTGCCACGTCTGTTAGAATCAGTACAAAGGCCAAGACACTGTCAAAAAAGTTCTGGTAACAGTCATTCACTATAATGTTCTATTATCAATTTGTTAATTCATTCTTTACATACCTGTACATACAAAATCACACAATACGCTACCTTCACTTACTTTGTTGCCCTACGACAATTCCGCTGTTCAGTTACTACATACTATATTGGCACTTTCCTCTGGATATTCACATAAACATGTACACGCCATTTGCAAATCTTCTACGATGGCTTGGTGCTTGGCCAACAAGGTCCAAACATTCTGGCAGTTGAGTTAATACGGGGGGGAATGTTGGCTGGTACCTAGCGACGAAAACAAATCATAATTAATGGCTAATGTGGAAATCGCAATGAGAGACAACATTGTCAGTGTCTACGATGAACAGGTTGCACACAACGTAAGACCTCTTCCGTCTCAAATCCATCCAAAGTCTCTGGCAGCCGATTCAGATCGGTATGATGACGATATCAAAGCTATTCAGAATGCCAAGGTGCTCGTCTGTTTTTATCCGACTGTCTCCGTGACCGAGCACCCACTTCCAAAAGGGCAGGATCCATATTTTCGCTACTGTGAAAACCACATATCTCAGTAGTAAATCCGGATTCCTATCGATTCCTTACTTGCATGGGAGGTTCCTATAATGGGTTCACTGCAAGAAAACTCTCCAGAAATAGATTTTCAAGCTCGATAACAAATAAAAAAAAATAATTCAGAGACCTGCATGATTGGTTTGGAGCATATGGGCCAATCAGGGCTGCTACCTGTCAGGTTAATTCAACAAAAGAATTTTTTTTACATCATATAAAAGATACGTTTCGAAACATGGCACGATAGCTCAGTTAGTAAAGTGGCTGGCTACAGTTTCAATGGACAGGGTTCAAAAGCTGGAGGCGGGACTTTTCTCCGTAATGCCACATCCAGAACAAATTTGGAATCCAAATAGGCCCACAGCCAGAATGTATCAGACATTACTTCCATACATCCTCCTTAATTCTATTATGTCAAAACAAAGCTTTTGAGGGAACGGACCTTCATTCATTCGTCGTCTACGGTCAGCTTGACCGAAGTGACCCCTTTTCGGGGTTTTCTTGCGAAAGTACGACAGCGGTGAATGGCCCTTAGACAATCTGAAATGGGTTCCAACGGAAATTACACAAAATGCTACATTTATTATACCGTCTATCAACAGTGTGCCCCTCTGAATCTAGTTTGGACTTACCTGATTGAGGTGTGTGAGCATTAGACGTGATGTCTTGTAAAATTGAATTGAGAGAAGTCGACATTCTACTCAGGTATGGAGGTCCAGTGTACGATTCCATATTTACACTGGAAATAGATTGCATTCGTTTACACACACTAAAATTTCAATGAGTAGGATCTGTGTCCTACAACTTAAGTACCGAATTAGGAGGCAAGAATTCTTACCTCATTACTTTTGGATAATGTGCAGCGGAATTTGGATTACTGCAATGTCTCGAATTTGGGCCAGGCGCACATCCTACAATCAAATTCGTGCGATTAGTGCGTTACACGATTTGAGACACATTTTCAATTTTTATTCAAATTACGTCTCAACACAAAAAAGGCAAAAACATTTATGGAAAACATGAATTTCAACCTTTGCCGGCCTTGGTCTACCAAGTGACGTCAAAAAACCTTGCAAGGTGCAAGATCTTGTGAGATGATTTCAATTAATGTCAATGACACTTTATCAATTACATAACTTATACAGCATCAAATGGAAGATGAATGTGAATGAATTAGGAAGGATGTACACAGAAGCAGTCGTGGCATATTTTATGGTATTAATCCGACATTTGTTGGGGGGGGCTCAGCACAGCAGCGATAAACTTAATCAAACAGTGAGCCTCTGGACTGAGAATGGAACCTCCCGGAAACAAAGAACGGATACTAAAAATTCAACTGCGAAGTTCAGTCTGAATTGTGAGTAGATAAAATATTTAGAAAGAGATGGTCAAGGCCTATTTCAAAATAATTCCGATCAAAAAGCTTTTACACAACTTTGGGCAAATTATTAACCCGACGCACACCCACACGTAATCTACGGAAATTGTCACTGCTCTGAAATTTGACAAATTAAATACGTTTTAGGATGAGAAAATTATGATGAACTATTTGCACAGCATCGAAGGACATAATATCACTCCACAATGTGCTGGAACTAGAAGCTTTTTTTTTTGGTAAGAAAGTACATTTCTACAGAATATTCAGGTCCTTTATGGTCAAAGTTTTGCCACAGGCCAATGTATCCTTCAAAGAAAAGAGAAAATTTTATACTGAAGCAAGATATAATCACCTACCTTCCAGGGAAGAATTCTGATTATGTCTGTTGGTAATGGAACTGTGCACGGTCGTGTGGTTCGCCTGAGAGTGTGCCACGGGAGCTTTGCTCCTTGCCATCTTGTAACTGTTTGGAACCTCAGGGTCCTGCTTATTCATTGTTTCCTGAAAGAGATGTTTTTGAAATTCATCTTGAAAACCATAGCTCATCTTAGCCGCGTCTGTACTTCCAGTCGAAGGGCGTCTTCCCAAGAGTGGTGCCGAACTCTCAGCACACTGCTTGCTAGATTTTGACTGCTGTGTCCTGCATGGCGCACTCACTGTCACTGATATGGAACTACAGTTTGTTTTAGTAGTGGGGGGGAATTTTGTTCTTGTGGAGGAATATTCTGAATCAACAGGATCAGAGTTTTTCTCCGCATTAAAATGTCCTTGCAGTTCAATTAATTCCTTCATTACACGATCAACTTCTATCTGGACAGACTCTTCATCACCCTGGGCAGTCTGTTCTACTTCCTTCTTCAAATCCGTTCCTTTTGAACTGTTCAATTTATCTTTCTCTTCTCCGCAGTGAGAAGAGTTTCCTCTCGGATCAGAGGACGGAGAGGGGGCAGGCTGCGGAGAAAGAGACTCGATCTTGGGAGCGACGTACAATGGAGCTTCCTGATCAGACAAAACCAATCTTTCTTCATGATGATAAATATCACGACCGCCCGCATTAGTCGCTGAATTTGGAAAGTTCTTCAAAGACTCATTGATTTGGCTCAGGAAATCAGCGGCAGCTGCCGT